TGTGCTGTAGGCTGGGTAATTGTGCTGGTTAACGCACAAACCCGCAGTGGACATGCCAGAGGCTACAGAGGCAGCCAGCAGCCCCCAGATGGGGTTGGCTGCCAAACCCTGTTTTGTTCAAGCACTGCTACTGAGCCTGCAACGCTGGAATAACTCTGTTCTTTCCATGCGGTGCCCCCTCCAAGCTCTTTCACAGTCTTTTTTACCAGATAAAAAAAGTAAGGTCCAAACCAAATCTGGGCTCCAAGCACTCATCAACCTCAGGAATTCTGCTCCAAGTGCAAATCATATAGCAACTGGCTTAACAGATGAGATCCCAAATCCAAAGCACCTTAACATAATTAAACCTTAGTTTCAGTCACTTCTGTTATAACAACACAAAGGGCAGAGTATGCCACTAGTGACTGGTTAGACACTACACGGGAAGAGAGAGGCTTCTTGTGGCTTTTGCTGATGTTTCAATACAGTATTAAAAGATAATTTAAGGAAATAACCTTATAATATTAACTGCTACTGTGGGAGGGAACCCATGAGATATCTCTCTCTCTCCCCTTGACGTGTATTACCCCAGAGGAAGCTGCAGTTTTGGCTTCCAACCCCTGCAACCAAACACATCACTTACAACTCTACAGCCTGAGTTGAAGACAGGTCTTCGCTCAGCACTGGGCTAGGCACAGAAACGGATGTTACGTGCTGACTATTTCCTTGCATTTTCAGAAGCATCCAGACTTCCCCAGTTCCGGGAATCCCTCTGTGCTATGCTCACAAGTTTTTATGACAAGAGGAGAGTTCACAGTACTAGGCTTCTGCTGAGGAATCTGAGTTTTTGCACTGGTTGCAATACACTCTCTTTCTTTTGCCCAAGGAGACCAGAAGCAGCTGGTCACATGGAGTCTTGGAGTGGAAGAACAGCAACAGTGTGTGTTGCAAATGTTAAGAAAGGCCAAAGGCACAATGGGGAGGCATGAGACAGGAACAAAAACAATTAATCTCTGCTCAGCATCATGAGACTTGACAGGACTCAGATCCTCAAAAGCCTAACTGGTATTTCTAGGGACGGAGTATAATGCTAAGATTAAAACAATTAAAAAAGAAAGCAAAACCAAAAAAAATCCCCAATGAATGCAGCAATATCAAATTCAATTCTCCTTTTCCATTTTTGTTAAGATATCAACATCTCTTCAGATCTGAACATTGAAATTTCCCACTGGAAGTTTAGAAAGATCCAACCTCCCAGGGACCATAACTGCAAGGAAGCCCTGTACAGAAGGTACTCACCCATCCAGTCTCCCTCCCCTTAAGTCAGGATTCTGGGAATCATGACTGTTCACAGGGTTCCTCCCTCTTCTGTGAAGCTAGGAACCATGCCCAGGCCTTGGAGCATCCAGGCTCCTTGCCAAAAACCAGGAGTTTGAAAACTTAGGGCCACTCAGGGCTGCTAGGCTCCCTGCCACAAAGCGAAGATCTGAGCAGAGCTCTGAAAGGTGTGGCACTGATTCTGGAAGAGTTGGAAGCTTAGAAACCCTCACTTGCTTCAGGGCTAATGGAGAGCTGGTAGCCAAAAAGCCCTAGAGTCCTGGCTCACCCATGAGCTGCACACTTGGAGCCACAGCTATAGCTTGGTTTCTACATTTTTAAAAGAAAACTATCTTAATTATTTCCAGCTCACACTGCTGCTTTATTTCCTCCTCCTCAGACTTCTGCTTTCAGAGGAAATTCAGAAAATCAATTTCCATTCTATAATAAAGTTCATTCCTGTTTCTGGGAACTGGCATTTCTTGAATCTCAATACAGAAAACGCGATTTTCCACTAGCTTCACTCATGATGTCTAACTTCAGAATGTAAGAAAAAACATTAAAATTAACATGTAGAAATAATAAGCACATAATAGAATACGTTCAGCACCAAATTGCCACCCTGACCCTGCAGCCTAACATCCCAGCAGGCATCTTGAGCAGTTTCCACCTCTGAGAAACAAAACAACAGGAGGCCTTTCTCAATAGCAGTTCCAGACTGATTGCAGTACAAGAAGCAATGTTTTTATTGTCTCAGCACACTGGACCTTTATAAATTCTGGAACTCCCTCAGAAGCAGTAATCATGGGAAACTAACAGAAGTTAAGTGGTTTACCCTCTGCCACAAACAAGTCAGTAATAGACTTGAGGTTAGATAGCAACAACAATTCGAAATCTTCCTACAGCAAACTGTTTCTAGGCAGCCATTAAAGTCTGATTATTAGGCTGAAGAGTAGCAAGGTTTGATTTTCGAGCATGAAAATTCCCCTGGAATTCCTCCAGAGTCCTCTAATGAACAGATGATCTCAACTTTAATCTTACTTCATAATTATCCAAGGATAACATTTCTTCAGCATGGACTCCTTAAACACATACAATTTCTAGAGCAAGTAATATTCAGACTAATTCATACTCATTTTTTTTTGATCCACAAAATGAGTGTTGAGAAGCAAAGAGCAATGAGGGGATGTTGAGGGTACGTTGCAGAGATCAGAACTACGAAGTTCAGATGAATGTGATGGATTGATCCCACATTGTCAAGATCAAAGATCCTCCATCTCTGCATTTTGTTTGAAGCCCACATGCCTTTACGTTGACCTTTAAATTGCTCATGGAGGAGTTATATCTGACATAATATCTGCGTTCTCAAGATGAACTAGCACCGAAAGTTTAGGTTTGTTCCTAGCAACCTGAATGTGGCAACCTTTTCCAGAAACTCAAGGTACAATCCTTTCATTTTCATTAATAGTAGTTTGCAAGAAAAATCTCCAAGCTAAATGGACAGATTCTTCTCCACTCACTTCGGCTTACTGTACAGCTTCATAATTCTCCAATCTTGTTTTAAAACCCCTCCCTTAACTCTGTGATGTGTGGGGAGGCAAACCCTGAGGGCTCATTGCTTCTGGCACCAGGTACACAACAGGCGTATCTCACTCTGCGGACAGGTAGGCGGAGGCTTTGCCTTGGGCAGTGCGTCCTCAAGCCAAGACAAAGGTGGCGGAAGTGAACACAGCGAGGACAAAATCTATTGTGGACCAAAAGGCAAAAAGCTTGATCTCTGTGGATTTTTCGTACGAATACAGATGACAAAAGTGAACCTTCATAATCCTTCTGAATCAAGTCGTAAGAACCTGGACTGTTGAAGTGTGATTCCATGTTCTTTCCAATGCTGACAGCAAAAGGTACTTGTGAGGGGAAAGAAACGACCTCCTCTCTGCAACCAACTCACATTCTATATGCAAACAAAGACAGCAGAGAGGGATATAGCTAGGCCAGAGAGGGAGTAGCCTCTGCAAGAACCCCAGAAAGTAAGGCCAGGGAACCAATGAACCATTTCACTCCAGGATAAAAAGGAAAAGAGGGTTGGCTGTGGAAACAGATCCAGTATCTCTCAACCAGTAGAACTGTCACAGACTCTGTAAGCTTAAATGCTAGGGGTTGAAGATTCCAGACCAGATTTGCAAATGGAATAAAAAGGTCTACAGTAAGAATAGGAAGAGGCAATTTCTCACTTCCCCCAATGACCCATTGTTCCCCTTTCTGATACCTCTTGCCTCGGCTTCCAGAAGACTGATTTTTTCCTACTGACATTGTCAAAACTGCTTGTTTGTTATCCTACCAGCAGACAGTTTGGCTTATGCTACTAAGGCTAGCCTGGCTAAGACCAGTGCATCCCATTCTCAGGCATGGCTGTGGCAAAACTCAGTTTAGGAAGTTAGATGGTAAACATTCTATGCATTCTCAGCATTCTGCTCCTCCTTCTCCCTTCCCTGACTGATAGTTCAGCTGGTTTTCAGTTGCTTAAATGCAGTGAAATAGTATGGCTTGATAAAGTTACTTGCCTCCAAAATAACACTCCCAAGTTTGGCTTAAGCTATATCCAAAGTCTACATTTCAAATGCAAATCACTGCTTCGAAGCTTCCCTCTTTTCCAGTCCCTTCAGACTTCCCTCACTCAAAATCACCCTCTAAAGTTTCCTGACTTACTGTGTATTCACATGATAATTACCTGAGTTGAGTGTTAATTTGAATGAAGTTCAATGTCCCTTTAAAGAGACAGGATTTACATACAACTCAATACATCATTTGCAATTACTGCCCGTACCTAATTAATTATGAGCAGAATAGTTACTTATGGCTAGCATTAAAAACCATTTAAAAACAGAGCAAATTCAGTAAAAGTTCCATTGATACTTACTATACTATTCATGCTACTCATTTCTTTTAAAAAACCAGAACAGGGACATGGGGAAAAAGCTGGTTTCCCTCCATTATACACGTAGGTTAAAGCAAATAAAGACATCATCCTGTCTGAATATAACACATTCAGTTATGAGAAACAGCAGCTTTGAAGTACTATCTTAGTTAATGGCAGAATTACTATCGTAGTCATTTCAAACTAGAACAACAAAATAGTGAAAATTAGTGATTTGCACCAAGCAGACAAGATCCAGGTAGATTTGTGAGTCAGCTCAGAATTAATTAAAAAAGCCTCTCTGTAGTCCCAAACCCCAAGACACAGCACTATTCTTACGTGTGAACATCCAGAATTTTGTTCAAACAGCATCTTGACATAACATTATAATATTGTAAGTTACCTCAAGGCATGCTACTGTAAAGCCCTAGGATCTTATGATTTACAGTATATCATCTCAATCACAGCCTCAAAAATAGTCCTGTAATGAAATAACCACAGAATTATGTGTTAGATAAAGGTACACACGGAAAAGAAGAAATCACAAGGCTACTATTATACAGGCAATACATTTTTATTATGTTCTTTCACCAATTGTAGCAAAAACATTTAACAACTGGATGAATAATCAAGGGAACTTAATTGTCAACAGGAGTTTCAGAATTATGTTCTAAATTTTAGACCAGGAAGGCTTGACAGGGAGAAAACAAACCATATACACACTGTAATAATAGTCTCTATTATGAAGATTTAATGCCTTCTTTAAAAGCACTGAGATTATTGAGGCACCTTACTGCAGGTTATGTATCATCTCCTCTTTGGCAATGAGATGTGTGGTTTTGTTAACTAGGGCCATTAGTGAGTTGAGCTTGTGAGACCAGTCATTGAGGATGTTGTTTGGGTCCTTAGGCCTCTGAAAATTGATAATTCCTGCCAGCCTGTCTACTTTAGCAAAGATGGTCTTATTAACTACCAGGTTAGACAGGAACTCTATGTAAAGACAAAAGAGCACCAAGTCAAGAAAATAGCATCTTTATCCACAAAACATCAGAATTCCTTCCAAACAGCATTAAATCCCAGGGAATAAGATCTTCTTTAGACGTAACAGAAACACAGCTGTAGTAATATTGCACTTTAAAAAAATGCACAATACTTTTATATTACACATGTTGGCACTGCAAGGTACAAGCACAATCCGTTAAAAAACTTTTTTTTCTCCATTTGACCTATATGGGATTATCTTTCATGAAATTAAAAATATTAATATAGTACACCAACAGACTTTTACAGATTTAATGAAAAGACAGTGGGGTAAAGCTTTTCATTTGCACTCGAAGCATCAATAAGCCATGATGCATGAATCTCTTTGGAAAGCTCTTGAAAACATAAAGGGGGTGGATGACAGAATCACAGACTGGTTTGGGTTGGAAGGGGCCTTAAAAGACCACCTAGTTCCAACCCCCCTGCCCTGGGCAGGGACACCTTCCATAGCCCAGGTTGCTCCAAGCCTCATCCAGCCTGGCCTTGGACACTCCCAGGGATGGGGCATCCACAGCTTCTCTGGGCAACCTGTTCCAGTGCCTCCCCACCCTCTCTGTGAAGAATTTCTTCCTGATATCTAATCTAAACTTCCCCGCTTTCAATTTAAACCCATTACCCCTTGTCCTGTCACTACAGACCCTTGTAAAAAGTCCCCCCCCAGCTTCCTTGTAGCCCCTTCAGGTACTGGAAGGGGCAATAAGGTCTCCTCGGAGCCTCCTCTTCTCCAGGCTGAACAAGCCCAACTCCCTCAGCCTGTCCCCATAGCAGAGGGGCTCCAGCCCTCTGAGCATCTCCGTGGCCTCCTCTGGACTCGCTCCAAGTGGTCAATATCCTTCTGATGTTGACGCTCCACAGCTGGACGCAGCACTCCAGGTGGGGTCTCACCAGAGCAGAGTACAGGGGCAGAATCCCCTCCCTCACCCCCCTGGCCACGCTGCTCTGGATCCAGCCCAGGATACGGTTGGCTTTCCGGGCTGCCAGCGCACACGGACGGCTCATGTCCAGCTTTTCGTCCACCAGTACCAGAAAAACTACTCCACCCCATGTTCCCAAAGTACAACCATCCATAAACAGGGACACTTAGAGGTAAGCAGCCCTGGATCTTCAGTCAGTTTTAATCACCCATTAACAAGAATTTTTTAACACTGAAACACAAGACAAGAAGCTCCAGCATTTAGATGAGACCTTGAATATAAATGAATTTTTAAGAGCAGCTTTTGCCTTATGGGCACATACATCATGAAACTGAGCTCTTCCTGAATTAAAAAACCATTTTCTAACTCCCATAAAGGCATGAAAATACACTCAGGTCTTCATACTGACTACGAAAGCGACAAATATTTGGATTAATACTTACTCCCAACAGACTTTTACACTACTTCTCATAAAAAGAACCCAGTGAACTAAAGTACAGTTAACGCTCCCTGTCTATCCCTATGGCCCACTTTGTTCTTCCTTTAAGAGCTGAAAAGCACTAATAACACAAAGACAGGAATTAGACTAAGGAAGGAGCCAGGAGGCGTAGAAGGATAATACAATGATAGACAGAGATACAACAGATCCTATATCCATGAACATTCATAAACATGCAAGTGTAAACCCTGTGCATTTTGCACCAAGCAGTGTAGTCCTACAAGGCTACGTCTTTCTGCGCTGTCTGTCAAACAATGCGATGCTGATCTATGGCATCACTTACAGAGCCTTTTAAGCCAAGAAGAGAACCCAGATTCAAATTGAAAGAGAACGTCACTCTGCTGAATACTTACATTTTTGCCACAAACACATGCACACATACACTTCCACACCCTTTATGAAAGGATAAGCAAAGCAACACTTACATCAACTGACAGATCCAGGAGCTGTGCCATTCTCTTCATTGTAATTCTCGTATAATATTTAGCCATTATTCTAATATTCTGGAATACAGAGTAGAGGGTTATGTGCAAAAAATAATTGAAGCAGGCTGCAAAAATATAAAAGTCAATGACAAAAGCAGATTAGGAAGCTGTAGTGCTCTAACAGCAGTCCAGCACAAGGTACGTGAGGGAGCTGTGAACAGTTCTTTTGCTTGCAAAAGGTATAAATTTTTCTACATGACAAATTATTAAGTAATGAAATCAACTAATTATGAATTTAATATAAAGCAAGACTTTCAAGTTTCTGCTTTATTGAAATGGGAATGCTAAATCTCACAATTTGGGTGCAATATGCTCCTTTTCCTGGCAGTTGTCCCAAATACCCATCTATAATTAAGATACATGAGCAAATAAAATGTTGAAAACGTAACACAATGGAAAAGACAACTTACCTGCTGCTTTACTACACACTTTATTTCTCTTTGTAACTAAAATATGGCAAGCAAATCGCGTTTTTTAGTTGAGGCACTGAATACATAGCTACTGCCTAAAGACAGCCAGACTTACATGTTCCACAACTCTGTTCTTTAAATCTTTCCATCTCTTTTCACCTTCCTCTGTACAGCCAAAAACATCTGTTGCAGGACTGTCAAGGGATCCTTCTCTCAATTCTTTCCCGTATTCTTCAACTAGGGCAGTCCACCGCATCAATTCCATGGTGGTAAATAGTTTTAGGAGGTCTCTAAATGGTTTAGTAAAGTTGGTTTAAAATCCTGTATTAATAAGGCTCATTTCATACTTCATGAGATCAAAGAAATAATTTTAAATGTTTTAGTTCTATTACCATTAATATTAATTGTTTTTCATTAACACTAATACTTCACACTACCAGGGGGCAGCTCAAGTCAGACTGTGTTCCTAATAAAGGTCTTTCTTTTAAAAAGAGACATTTATTTTAACGTAGAACTTGTACAATCACAAAGAGTTTGCAGTATTTTTCATGGAGCATTACATCCCGCGATGCTTACAGCAGGCTCAGCGTAAACAGATTTCACCTGCAAGGCTAATTTGAGAGTGAGACCTGATTTACCCAAGAACTGTTTATTAGAAAGAATACCTACTTATACTTTGGGATTTCTTCTAGCTTTTTGTCGCTACTAATTCTGTGCACCAAATCAGATTGTTCATTGTCGTAAGGCGAAAGAATAACATAAAGAACAACGCTCTTCAGTGCCTGTTTAAGAGGAAAGAAGGTGGGTTTTTCCCCATAATTAAACAGAGGAATTGAAAACATTACTCTCAGAGCTTGAGAGTTTAACATGTAAAAGGCTTAAGCACAGCATATTAAAAATTTAAGGTGAAATCGATGTCATCTAGCAGAAATGAACCCTCATTCACAGTGACACTTTTAAATTGACTCAGGTTAACTAACTAACACTGTCGTATTTAAAATAAATATACCAAAAACATCTTTTCAAGTACGTAACGTGTCCTGCATGCGCAACAGTATCATCCAGACCACACTGGCATGGCTGTTTCTAATTCCTGCACTTGTATAAAATAGACAAGGCATTCTCAAGATTCCAAAGACAATAGAAGGAAGATGTTAGTTATAAATATTAATTTGAAATCAACTTTATTATATCTGTATTCAACTAACCAATTTATTAATACAACCACTGGACAAACCTAAGAACAGACTGATGAGCTATTTAATCTGCTGTAAATGGATCCTGCAATGAAATGTATATTTGCCACATGAAAATACAGCTATGTATGTAATGTTTTTTCACCTGCTGCCACTTTTCACTTTCAGCCTGGATACACGGAGTATCATAAATGGCTCTGTAGTGCTTACAGATGGAGAGGTAGGAGCCTTCATGTTGATCCAGCTGGATCATTAAGTTGTAGTATTTCAACTTCAGTTTCTGAAACAGTATCAAAAAGTGAAATTAATTCAGCTCCATGAATCACATAAATGAAATCTAACTGCATCCCAGAAAAGAAAGGGATTCAAATACACTTGGACCTGAAGAGAGGCATATCAGATTAAAATTGGGATGGGGTGGTAGGGAGAGAGAGAAATCTTCCAATGACTTACTTCTGTGTTTTCTTCTTGAAAAAATTTCGTATTAATTTTTTTGCTGATAATTTGAGTCCGAATATAGTCTTTTACAGCTAGACAGAGTCTCATCTGCTCCAAGATAAATTCTACACGTTCCTTCTTTTCCATTGAACCATAGGTTTCCACCTAAAATGAACATGTAACTATTTAGCACTGTCAAAGTCAAATCAAGTTAAGTCTTAACTGTGCAAGAAGGCTGTGAGGTTGTCAGGGAGGGAGTGAGGGGGCAAAATAAAACAACAGAAAAAACCAGCTATTCCACAGCAAGTGAAAATGGAGAAAAGGTTATTTAATTTTACATTATAACACCCACTTTCACCAAAAGAATCCACTAAACTCAATGCACTACCTAGAGAATTTAAATCTGGTTTCCAAATGGGAAATATTCTATGTAACCTACCCCTGAGACTAACAAAAGGAGTTAAAACTGAATTACACTTTCACTAAAAACAGTCAATCTCATTCCAGGCATTTCTGCAGATGTACCTGACAAAGTTTGCGAACAATAATCTAAAAGCAGTCAGTATTCATTGTTATTGCTGACGCAATTTTGAGTTATATGGCGTGTTACCTGCAATTCCTGCAGAATAGAAGCTGCCTCTTTCACTTCACCATTCTGTTCTTTTATTGTTGCAAGTGTCTTTGTCAGGCGAGCACGTTCAATTTCCACATATATCTGAAACCAGAAGTAGTAGTTTCGAACACTGGAGTTTTCTGAAGAGTGCAGACTCTCAGACCACCATGCCACTCAGCCACACGTGACCTTTTCATACAATCAATTCCTTGCGTACCCATACACTATACTGATGCTATCCACAGCACACACAGATGAAATACGGATAGTTGACACACCAGAAGTGTTTTGACCAAATGAATAAAAAAGGGTCTAGATTTGCCTACTATTCCTTAAGCAAACATAAAAGGACATGCAATGTGAATGAAGTATTAGGTAGGCTGCTAAAATATACTAAAACAGATGAGGAGATTTTAATAGTTAATGTGCACTAAGTACTACCATTTGCATCATTTCACTCACTCCTAACCAGCCATAAAGCAACAGCAGTTCAGTACTAACAATTTACACTAAGTTCGAACAGGCAAAAGCCATAACATTACTACAAATTTGCCTTAAACCACAATTGTTTATTTTCTTAAAGCAAAAGCAATATTATGATTTACTTGGTATAATGCTTTGGTATCACCTTCTGATTATCATAACAGCACGTAACACCTTGCTAAGTGCAGAAGTTAAACTAAACCTGCCCATTTCTCTAACAAATTCAAATACGTAGCATTTCAGAAAGTGAAAAATAAATAGCATTTTAGAACCCTGAAATGTATTATTCATTATATTAATAATACATCCAAATAGCTATGTATGGAAATATGACCAGTGTTTCAGCAAATTATTTAAATACTAAATCTGGAAAACATGTGCAGCCTTTTGGAAAGAAATACACTACTTGGCTTCTCAGGTTAATTTAAAAACAGACTTCTGCTCTTATTTGAACAAGATTTTAAAATAGTGTTAAGAAGCTATGCGTTTAAAGAAGGTGAACATTTTTATTCTACCTTTTAGACAGTCTTAAAACAAAATCTTACTTTTCCTTCTGTAACCATACGCAACGTGTCAATTAAGCGCAGTTTGACTGGTAAGTCTGTGATGTCTTCAACGTAAGTGCAGCACTGCTGGACCATTTTAGCAACTGCCTAACAATAACAGAAAACAAAAACATACTGTATTTTAGATTTCTCAAATGCATTCAAACTACAACAATCAGAGATAAGTACTAAATAGTTTCATATCACACTAAAGAGGCTCATCTCAACAAAAAGCATCCAAGATGCATCTTATCACTTTGATTCATAAAAATGTGTAAAATGATGCTAGCAACTGAATGCATGAAACAGCATCACACTGATTCTGTCACTTCTTTATTCTCATTTTTTCAATTACATTCAAAACAATTCATCCCATGGGGTTCTCTCTTGAAAAGTTGTGCTCCTCTCTTGCCAAATCCACACGACACTCCTGTGGACCGACAAGACTTAGCTGTTTGCTCTAAGAGCACAAGCCCTTCTCTTTAGGACACCTGTAGATTTTTCAGGAAGGGAAGGAAGAGAGGTAACCTTAATAATTTCTGACTGATGCTTTCTCATCTGTGCATACTCCCAAATAGGCACTAATAAGCCAGCACCTTTCAGTGGCAAGCCTAGGTACTGGAATGTGTTATTCTGGTAACAGTGCCTACAAAGCTGTTACAATTATTATATAAATACCAATCAAAAAGTTACAAAAAAGAAAAAACCACCCCCAAACCAAACAGAATTAAACTTCTAGATAAATTCTAGAAACTTGTTCCTCAAGAAAAAAATTCAGCTGAAATGATCCAAGTCTTTAGCCACAGTCTGTGCAAGTTAGAGAACTAAACTGTACTCTACTTTTATACAAACTACTACTGTTTCTGCACATTAAAAGTAGGTAACCCTTTCATTCCTAAAGCAGTGATGCCATGAAAATTACCTGCTGATGACTTCCAATTAAGTCAAACTAAACACACAATGCAATAAACTTTGTACTTTCTTAAATGCAAGTGCTTTCAGCTTTCCTGATAGCCAGTTTCTCAGGCAGAGCTGAATGCCACAGCATAGCAGTTTCCATGAAAAACATATACTTTAGTTGATCACAATAGATTGCACTAACTCTGTTTAATGTACAACTCATGTGAACATGAAAAATTAAGAGTATGTCTACAATACAGACTGTAGAGGAGGAAAGATGAACTACACTAAAAGCACTGGTATGCACGAAAGCAGAAAAGTCACAGCTGTGTTGCCAAGAATGGCAAGCTGGACAACACAGCGATCAGGCACAAGGTGGAGACAGCCTAATTCCAGACATCAATTTCATTACTGGCTTTCATACGTCTGCCAAAAAACACCAAGAGAAGCTAGTAACAATATATTCAGGCTGGAGCTACAAAGTCAGGAATGTCCCTACACACAAAGGGGAATCAGATCCATAATACACCTCCAAATATAATTTTAATTTTTGTTTCAAAGGATTAAATTCACCTGTTTTAACTGACTTCTTCTCTTTGACAGAAGAATAATATTTTCATTAAGAGCATCCCAGTCTTTAGCTTCATAACACATTTTCACTATAGCAACTAAGATACGGGATGTGGAGACCATGTCAGATGCCTGTAACAAACAAACAACATGTTAGTGATGGGATAAACCACCTGCAGGCCTCTATCACTTGCACTTCTGTTATACAACAGGAAAAAAACAGATTATATCTAGCCTCATTGATTTTCTTTTTAAGGAAAGAACAAAAAAGACCGATACTCCAATTCCCTTCACAACTTTAATGCAGTGAAACAAGGGGGGGTATAGGACAACCCAACATAAATGTTGCACACTACATGCTACTTACTGTCCGCGTTTGTTTTTCCAAGGAGAGAAGGTTTTCAATTACTTCTTGCAATCTTCCTTCCTAAAGCGATAGGCAAAGAATTATCGCCATGAGTGAAGAACGCAGTTCAGTTTAATTTGCGAGTAGCTTGAATTCTCATGTAAGTAAAACATAACTAGCCTGTGCACTCAGTTTTGATTTTTTTTCCTTAAAGAAACACACTTAGCACTAACTTTAAATACATGGTTTTACACACAGACTAAACTGGAAAGGTACTAGTGCCATTTTTGCCCAATACATGCTATAAGTTGTCTGTCTTGAGTGAGAAACCTAGCAAGTTTCAGACAGGTTTGGTCAGCTCACATTCACTGAGCTAGATTTCTTTCCTAGCCAAAACAAAGCTTTATGGAGGAACAGCTATCCAGTTAGCTACCTCGGTAAAAGAATGGTTTTACTATTACTTTCATCCACATTCATCATATCTTAATTACAGCATATTATAGAAAGCATTAACTACATGCTTTATAGAGTAGGCATGGAATTAGAATAGTCCTACTTCTGGGGTTTTGAGAACTGTATTTGCCTTTGTTTAGGGGACTTAAAGATACTACAACATACTTATAGTCTTAAGGTGTAATTCCTAGCAAATATCTTGTAAAGAAGATGTTAATTAATAACAAAAAAAAGATAAATTTAAATTTGTTTCTAAAACATACCTACCTTACTGATAACTTTTAAACTATATGCAATGGTTTGTCACTTATGTGTTCTTACTGCCACAAAATGTACAGGTTATGCAGCAATGAAACATAGTCACGGTGTCCATACCTACGCAGAGCTGTGCCCGTGAGATGCAACACCTCCACCTACTCTCCATACAACACAGCCTTAAGATAGTGTAAGATACAATTTGCTTATCCTAAGGCTGCTGCCTTCAGGATTATACAATATGCTGTGTAGTGCAACATGCCTATCACAACAAGACATGTGGATCAAGCAGGGCATTTCCAGCATGTAAAGAATCAGATATTATCCTACTGGGCCAGAATATAAATCCAATCTCTGTTCTGAGGTTTGAGATGTGGAAGAATCACTATGCTACAGAACAGGCCCATAAAAAGTTCTTAAAATACGCCATATGCATGATTACCTCTGCCATCCCATCAGCAAGGCATTCTGTGGTCGCCTACGGCTGGGTGCACAACGCACTTTTGCTCAGCAGATGCCAGGCACCCTATCAGCCTGCCATGGCTCTGGTCCATCATTACAGTCTTGTGGGGCACGTAAATACCCGAGTCAGAAGGATGCAAAGCGCTGCCTGCCTAACCTGACATGGGATCGATTACACGCAGGCAGCTTTGGGGCACAGCAATCCTACGATGATCAAGCATCAACCTGTCTGCCCAGCTGCGCTGCAAGCAGAAAGTACCAGCAGGGAAAAGCCGCGGCCCTTCTGGAGGACTCGGGCCTTCCTGTCCCCTCACCCGGGAGGCTGCACCCCGAGATCTCCCCTCGCCTTCCTCACCACTCTCCTGCCCGCCCTCCCACACACTGCTAATGAAACGGCAAAGCAGTCTCTACTTCTCCCCTTCCCCGAGCCCCGGACCCCTCCACGCCGGATGGGGTGACAAGAGGGGGCTGCACGTCGCGCCGCATGTCCCCGCCACCGGGCCGCCTCCCC